TCATATGACGAAATGCTAAATTGTTAATAAAAAATAGGGGGTGGTGGCGGATAGGGGGTGGTGATGGACCATCTGTCCTCCCCCAGTTTTAGTTTGAATCAAGCTGAGGGAGGGCAGATTGTCCACCACCTGGGAATATTATATTCCCCGCGGACCAAAAACTGAAAAAAAAAACAACATGGAAAATAAAAAGATGAAAGTTACGGTGCAGGGCCTAAATAACCCAGTACCGGCGGCAAGTGTTAATCCACTCGCGAGTCACGTGTCGTCGTCATCCTGCAATCGTGAGCAAAATGCTACTACGGAGGTGGGTACCTTGGCCTCCGTGGCGGACAATGCGTCAAGTGTACAGCATGACATTGGCAAAAACATAGGGGTGAAAGAGAAGGATGTACTCAGAGAGAGCTCTAAGCTACCTCAGCCTTTAAATATAGGTGAGGGTTCCGACTCTGAATTCTCAGAAGATAATAACAACACCATTATAGCAAATCCCAAAAAGGATGAAGTAGAGCAAATGGTGAAACAGGTGAGTGATAGCATAGCTAAACTACGTATTACTAAGAAAAGACTATCTGGAGCACGGAGGACGAAGTTGAAAAAGATGCTTCAGGAAATCGTAGTTAGTCAATCCAACGACACTCCAAAGGAAAAATCCGACTCTCTCTCAAGATCTGAGGCAAAGAGGATCAGGTCTCTCGAAGAGTTGACAACTGAGAATTAACCTAAGAAGAAAAAGAGCTCCCCGTCTTCTAATTCACAGTCGAAGCCAAGCCATACTTCTCTCAAAGGAACCTCAAATCAGAATCCTGAGAGTAAGGGTGACAACGGCAAGGTAGATATTCCGAAGACGATAACGTCGGCGAAATCAACCTCGAAGGTACGGGTATCTCAAAAGAAGCCCCGAAAAGCGAGGAAAGAGAGGCTAGACAGTGAAAAAGGAAAAGAGCCGCCATCTTACGCCAAAATTGCCAGAAGAAGACACCGGGACGATCTCTGTTATGCAGTTTACGATGCCGGTAATCCGACAGGCAAAATTCCAATAGACCAACAGAGTAAGGTAGAAGATCTGGTGAACAATAAGATAGTGGACCACGCAATCGCTTCAAAGGCCAAACAACCAAGCAGTGCTGTCCAAAATTGGGAAAGTGTCAATTAAAAAGACTGCTCTTCCTATGCCAACTCCCACCATGTAGCTTGGGGTAGTACAAACACCAATCGCAGGGGACAAGCCCTTATGGATTTCCTTAATACTAAAGACTTGATCACATCGAACTTAGGTAATAAAGCTACCTTCGTCAATTGTATCAGAGAAGAAGTATTAGATATAACTATATGTTTAGAACAGCCTATAAACGAAATTCAGGATTGGAGAGTTTCGGACGAGCACTCCTTTTCTGACCATCGGTACATAAGATTCACCACCACGGCCGCCACCAAAGCCGATAAATAAGTAAGTTCCTTACCAAAGAACCGTTTATGTCAGGACACTTTTCAATGTCGAAATAAATAGTAGAAATGCTCACAAGTGCCTTGGTTGAATTGGGTAGCCGGGGAGATCCGGAAACTTGGTAAGACTCTTCGCAAACTATTTTACCGGGCACGTCGTAAAAAGACCGCAGTATACTGGGATGAGTTTCGTAGTAAACTTGGTCAATATATGAAAATTGTCAAGCCAAGCGAGACTCCTGGAAACTTTTCTGTGAACAGGTAGACAGCGTAAATGAAGTATCGAAGATTAAAAAATTCCTATCCAAAACTCATGTCCAACCGGAATCTACGGTCGATGGCACGGGCAGGAGGCTGGAGGATATGGAGAAGACAATGAAACTCCTAATGGTCTCTCATTTTCCACCCGGTATATCGAATAACATAGATGAACCGATATTGGAGGAAGTGGAGGCTAACACGGAAATTGTAATTACATCTGATATGATTAAAGGGGCAATCAAGAGCTTCGCTCCCTATAAAGCTGTAGGGCCGGATTTTTCCGGCACTCTTACAGATGGAGGCGGGACTGGTTTCCGTACATCTGTCCCAGATATTCACTGCATGCTTGAAATTCACATATACCCCCATTAAATGGCAGGATGCAAGGGTAATATCTATACCTAAACCTGGGAAACCTAGCTATTCGACACTTAAGTCTTCTCGGCCGATAAGTCTTACGGCCTTCCTACTTAAAACCTTGGAACGGACAAAGACCTAAAATTTAAGCAGCATGCTTATGTAAAGGGACGATCGGTGGAAACCGATTTAAACGAAGTTGTCCACTACATATGTGCATCCTTTGATAGCAAACTATATACACTGGCGGTATGCATTGACATCGAAGGCGCCTTCAATAACGTGCACACTTATACTCTTATCCAATCCCTAGACCAGTTATATGTTGACCGGGTGCTCCGTAATTGGATCAACAACATGCTAAGGAACAGATGGATAAGCTGCGAGATGTAGGATATATCAATTAGGAAAAAGGTATGGATGGCTTTAAATTGGGGGACAAAGTGGGGCTGGGGTTCTATATTGAAGATCCAGAAACAGAAATATACCACCGTTTACCAAATCATAACACAAGCTTCCAGGCAGAAGTACGAGCAATAACGGAATGCGTAAATTGGATTAGAATAAATATGGCGCCCACAGCGCTTAATATATTTACCGATAGCCAGAAGACAATTAGGGCGATATCAGGCGATAGAACTAAATTTAAGACCGTATTGGATTGTAAGAAAGCTTTAACTGAATACTCTCCCAGAGGTAAGGTTCACATCATATGGGTACCAGCCCACTCGGGAGTAGTCGGTAACGAAAGGGCGAATATAATAGCTTTAAAGGGAAGGAAGCTCGAGGCAGATAACCTGACAAACGCAAAACCATTCGACGCAACAAAAGCTGAACTTAAAATATGGGCGAGAATCCCATAAGGCCTCTAGGAATAATGAAACAGTGGGTAGAACCACGAAGATCCCATGGGGTGACCCCGATGAGAGCAAGACGAAAAATCTCCTCAAAATTAGCAAGTTAGTATGATGGTACGTATTCTGAATGGACACATAGGATTACGAGCACATCTCTGCAAAATCGGACGTGCGGATTCAGACGAATGTAGAGCATGTGGAGAGGACAGTGAAATTTCACTTTCTTTGCCACTGCCAGGCATTCGTCGAAGTTAGATCCAAGTATCTTGGAAGTGATGTTATTCCGGAAATAACATTCCTGACTAACACTGATTGGAAGATTCTTAGGAATTACGTTCAGGAAACTGAACACTGAAAAATAATTCATTCAGTTCCTTTTTTTCATGATAAGGAGCGAACAACAGGCCCAATAGTGGCCTAGGTGTATTTCTTCGGATTTGATGTAGTATACATCGTCCTATCAACCTGCCTACCGAATAAAAAATAAGCTTAATTAGAGAAAATGTTGAACACTTTTGGTTTATTTAAAATTTTATAATGTTTTTTGCTTCTCCTGAAAAATTTGTTTAATGTAACTTAGCTTTTATATGACGATATTCACCATGAGAAGGAAAATAAAATTATTTTGGCCATCATTTGGTTGACAGAGGGACATTTCCAAATTGCCTAAAAATAGTGCTGGCTAATTAGAATATTGTCAAATATTCATCTATTATTTAAATATTACCTAGGTTAAAGTCTTTTTCCTAAAATATAACCTTTTAAAATTTTTCTGAGATTTTATTTGCAAATTTGTAAACGGTAAATTTATAAATTTTAGATTGTATTTTAAAAGAAATCATAATTAGATTTCGCTATCAACCTAAAAAATTTTAAAAATCAACTTATTGTTGGCCTAAATAAAAATCTTATACATATTTGTCAATGGTTTAATGAAGGTATTTTAAGCTACTTGACTTTTATGAATTAATAAAATTTGTTTTAAGTATTTTACAAAATTACAAAAAATAAATATTGATCAAGGTTTTAAAAATTAAGATGACAGAAAGAGGACAAAAATTTTAAAGATGACAGTCAGTTAAAATAGATAATTGTCCACTAAAAAAGAGGAGGTTTGGTCAGCTTAATTTAAGCCAAAGGAATAAAATATCGGGCTACATATTTAAATGCTTTTTATATTATTTTACAAAATAAAACATCCCAACTTTTAACAGGATTATAAAACAAATAGGAAAAAAAACTACATTGTATAGTTTTGAAATATTAAAAAACAAACAATTTTATAAACAAATTTGGCATTACTAACTTTAATGTAAATATTTAATGGCTACTTTTAAAACAATAACAAAAACGATAAAAATACTGATATTAAACAAGAAGTAACAAACTTCTTTGTCTGTACTAGGTATTAAAGGAGTACCGTTTACTAAACACTCAGGCATTTTTCCGGAACAAACAAATGCTAACATTTTAAATTTCAAATAGAGCCTATTTTTAGACTATTTTTTTAAAAAATAAGAAAAAAACTAAAAGTTTAACAAAACCTACATATAAATGTATATATATTTCCATGTACATGTAATAGAGTCAGTCTTCCATTTTAAAATATTAATTTTAGACATGTTTTCTTATTTAAATTCAATTTTAAAAGACCTTAAATTTACGTTTTCTTTTTTTTAATTAAAAAAATTGTTAAACTTTGACAGCACAAATCAGTAGTTTATACAAAAAAAATTTTTGACGCTACTTCCCAGCAAAAAAAGTGTGGAAAAAGATGTAGTATTTTCATCACAACTCGAAGTGCTTCAAATTAGTGTGAAAAACTATGAACTACATCTAATCTTTTTTAGAAGCAGTAATATTTATATAATAATAATAATAATATTTGGATGTCACCAAAATTTGATGTACTTCGAATATGTTTACATATATATTTAATTATTTTTTCATACTTTATCAACTCAACGATTGGGCATCACTTCTCCATGTTGAGTAGCTGTCAGTCGCAGTTCGTCGTAAAGTATTGTATGTGTTTGGACCTTTAAACCTAGAAAATGTTTCTATAATGTAAGATCTTACCTTTTTTATTTAAATAAGCCATGGTATTTACTGCAGTTTGATATGTTTCCTTTATGTCGTCGTCAGTAAATTGTTCCGCCAATTTTAAATATTTATCATTTCTTTCTTTGAGCCATAGATATGCATTTGTTGCTAATTGCGTCCCCAATGGTTTCGTTAAAACTAGATGATCTCCATCTTTAGCATTGTGAGGCCTAAATATTTAAATAGAAAAGAGAAATCGTAAAAAAATTCAGTAAAATTTAACTTATATATAGTGTTACGAAATTGTATTTGAATTTAAATTTAACGGTGTTAAGGGCTACTTTAAATTAATTATAATGTTTCATTATTTAAATGTAAAAAAAATGTTAAAAAATCGTTATATTCAAAATTTTTGGATGTATGCACATTATTTGTAAAAGGTATCAGCGAATTCATCACGGAGCGTATATATATATATATATATATATATATATATATATATATATATGTATTTAACGGTTTTAAGGGCTACTTTAAATTAATTATAATGTTTCATTACTTAAATGAAAAAAAATTTTAAAAAAATCGTTATATTAAAAATTTTTGGATGTATGCAGATTATTTGTAAAATGTATCAGCGAATTCATCACGAAGCGTATATATATATATATATATATATATATATATATATATATATATATATATATATATATATATATATATATATATATATATATATATATATATATATATATATATATATATATATATATATATATATATATATATATATATATATATATATAATTAATAGGCAAGACGATTTTTTGTGACCCCTTTTACTCTTACAGTATACATCTGATCTTGGCCAAAAATTATATCATTTTAAAGGTATTTGTTCGCAGATGTGCACAATATATATATTAATGAGATCGGTTCAGAATTTTAGGTGCTATAAGAGTTTAAAGTTCTTACTAATACATAGAAACAATAGTCACACGTACGTATTCTTGAAATTAAAAACAAACAAAGCAAGAAACAAAACAAAAAAAGTAAACAACACGGCTTTTTGAAAAAAGAGAGGAGAGTGCAGAAACGTTTAACTTCTCTGTTGCTGTTTTGATTTTTGTATTTTGCATGATATTTGTTTTTGTTGTTGTTTTTAATAAGGCTTAGGCAATGCGAAAATAGGATTTTATTGTTTTATATTTTTGTGTAAAGTGCTAAATTGTGAATGAGATAATGATCTATTTTGTTATAATATCGTTACGATTGTTACCAAATCGAAAGGAATATTTTTATAAGAAGTAGGACTTCAGTTTTATATTCAGAGTTTTCGATTGGAAGTTTTTCGTTATTTAAACTTTTCAAAATATGTAGTTAAATTGAAGGACATTCCCGACGAAACAACGAACTGGGAATATAAAAACATGCGTAAATAATGCTTGGGGACACCTAAAGAAATGCCAAACAATGTACTGATATTGGTGTTTGAACTGGAAAATTATTGGTAGGACATCAGTACCGGAATTCAGTAATTTTTTTTTTTAATTTTAAGTATTGATATCTAAAAGTAATGACAAATATCAGTTACATTAACGAATTTCCCTAACTTTTTAACAACCGTAGAATATTTTAAAGACAAATATCGGAAAAATATAAGAATGTCAAAAGTTATGTATTGAAATATTTTTAAAATATAAAATTATTAACGTGAACTTTTAATTTATTTTTTACTTTTTCGATTATGTTTAACGAAAAAAATCGGTGAAATGAAGTTCAGAATACATACCACATAACGACAAAGTGTTGTAGTTAAAAAAAATACTGAATTGCGGTACATAATTATTAGTTTTGATTGATTTGGAAGATTTAAATGATGGATTAACGAATTGATTCAGTGTCAGTAAGAAATAAAAATAGCCTGTAAAAAATATAAGTAAAGTTTAGTTGGTCATGTCGGTATATGATACACCGCAATAAATGGATATGTATATCGCTTATATGCAGGTTTAGCACAGCGAGGACTTGATGATATTCTTCTTTTTTGGGCTATTCTAAACAATTAGGAAAAAGTAGTGTAAAGTGAAACTGTAAAGTGAAACTGTAAGTTGAATATGTGATGGTTATTTGTTATATAAAAATAGATACAAGTTGAAACTGCTAAATATAAATCATGTCTTTTGGGATGAAGAGTGTTTAACCGTAAACAATTTATCGTTTATTATTCATTTACTTGCTATTAAACTTGCATATGTTAACAAAAGACTGAAATTTATAGTTTATTAATGTTTTCTTTCAAACAGTACTAAAAACAGTACTTGAGAAATTAAGGCCTTATTATGCATATACAAAATCAGTGTGTAATTGGAAGCCAATGCATATCGTTATGCGGTTCTATATGAAGGCTAATAAAAGGCCCATTAAAAGGCCTCATAGAATATCTACTATTAAATTCTATTAGTAGACATTAAAATTGAATAAATGTATTTCTGCTGAAGTCTTTGTCGAGTGTTATAAGGGAAAATTTATACAGCATATACCTGTTGGATGGACTACTAATGACATCCAAATAAAATTTATTTATAATTAGATAAGACATTATTTATTTTAAATATTTTTACTGTTTTCACAAATTATTTAGAACATTTCAACTCTGTATTTTGAACAGCTAACATTTCTTTACTGGTGTGTACACTGTACAGTAGAGTACTCCAGCATTGTGAACGATGCGTAAATATGTAGGGGATAATAAGAGCGGGTTTTTGAGATGGTAATCAAATGCCAATTATTAATCAGATTAGTTAATCTAACAATAAATTTAATCTTATGTTATCTTATTGATGTTTTTGAGTACAAGATTAAACTTCGCAGTGTTGCCATACAAAACAACAGAAAATGTCACTGTTTGTTATTAAAACAATGCATATTTTATAAAAAAGAAGAAGACAATTGTAAATTTAGTATGAAAATTAATGAAAACTTAAATTAAAAACAAAAAAAAAATGTATTTTGAAGTGTCCATAATTTATACTAATCAATAAATAGAACATTTTAATGTTTATATTTATAAAAATTTTATTATTTTTTTTTGCATCAGCTGTTTACACTTTTGCATTTCGTGCTTAAGATTAAACCACTTCCATTGGGCGCTTAAACTTGCAAACAAAATTAAATAATTGAGTACTCAAAAACATCTTTCAAGGATTAATTTTAATTTAATGACAATTGAGGTTTTAAACTTCTGATGGAAGTTTTACTAAAACCCATCACATTTTCTAAAAGAAAACATTATTCAAAGCAAATTATACACTTTGATAATATCAATAAAGTTAATTTTTTACCACAGATTTGAACTACAAAAATAGGGTTTTATTTTAGCTTATTTATGCAATTTTTCCAGCATTGGTTCTGGTCGAATTTCGACCACTGGGCGAACTCTAGTATATATATATATATATATATATATATATATATATATGTAATAATATACATACAGTGGTGGCCATGAGGTTAGCACATTTGGTATCTGTTAAATATAAAATCAAATATTTCCTATAGTTCTTAACTTTTTTAACAAATTCTTTTTTATGCGTAACACATGTCCTTCGAGGATCACGACACATTACATTTTGTTCCACTACTTTGTTGCAGATAGATTTCTTTCTTTCCAAAGTACATCTACCCCAAAAAAAATCTGGACATAAGTTTAGCACAAAATAAAAAAATCATTAAAAAATTAAAAATAAAGCAAAGAAACTGGATAATTTTATGTAATTTCACTTAAAATTTTATATTTTGTAGAATAGTTGCACATTTTGATAATATCATTTCTTCTCCTGGACATAATCTTCACCAGAACCCACTAGAAATTTCATGACATAAATTTTAACTTTCAGCCCATAAATAGGCAAAATTCTTAGGAATTTGTGTTTTATTTGTTGCACCATTTCGTTTAATATGTTCCCTATTGGATTGGGATCTAGAAATTATTCTGGGGGCTGCAAACATGTCAATCTCGCTCGCTTCCAAGAAGCTCCTCTCTGTACTTTTAACATATTTTGGGTCATTGTCGACCAAAAAACGCCATTTAACTGAACTTTTGTCCACTCATTTTTTTACTAAAATATTTAAGAGTCTATTTTGATAGTCATACTGATCCATTTGTGCATCCACCTTGCGTATAGAACCTCCACTAGCCCGGAAAACGCCTCCGAATTCGTCATATTTCACCCATTGTGTTTTATGGTTTTAAATGTACACTTTGGTTGTTGCTGCATGTTTGGAGTACAGCATAATTACATTTTTCCATCAAATTTGATCCTATTAATCTTCAACTAGTATCCTCCAATCATGCAGATAAAGCTAAAGTGTTCCAGAGAAATCATATATCACAATGGGGGGAAATTTCATGGTATTCATTGCATTTTCTTGGCATGCTGTTGGTCCTATATTGATGTTGGATGCAGAAGTGGATCCGTATGACTATCAAAATAGGATCTTAAATACTTTATTAAAAAAATCGGAGGACAAAGATGGCGTTTTTTGGTCGACATCGACCGTAAATATGCTAAAAGTGCTGAGATGAGCTGCTTGGAAGCGACCGGGATTGTCATGTTTGCAGTGCCCAGTATATTTTCTCGATTCCAATTCAATAGAGAACATATAACATAATATGGACCAACAAATAAAAGCAGAAATCACCAAGAATTTTGCCAATTTATGGGCTGAAATTTCTAGAGGGTTCTGGTGAAGATTATGTCCAGGAGGAGGAATGATATTATCAAAATCTGCAACTATTCCACAAAATATAAAATCTTAAGTGCAATAAGATAAATATAACCGGTTGTTTTGTTTTATTTTTAATTTTTTAATGATTTTTTAATTTTGTGCTAAACTTATGTCCAGATTTTTTTGGGGGTAGATGTACTTTGGAAAGAAAAAAATCTACATGCAACAAAGTAGTGGAACAAAATGTAATGTGTCGTGATCCTCGAAGGACATGTGTTACGCATAAAAAAGAATTTGTTAAAAAAGTTAAGAACTATAGGAAATATTTGATTTTATATTTAACAGATACCAAATGTGCTAACCTCATGGCCACCACTGTATATATTTTTAATATAACCCCTGTTTAAGTTAGAATTGATGTAACTACTTTTTTGTAATACTTTTTATAACAACGTTAGAATCTTATAAAGCTCCTCTTTATTTCAACTTTCTTGGAAGA